TTTGTTCAAGTGAAGTGTTTTCTTTTTTCTGTTTGTTTGTTGTTTAATTGCTTTACAGGTCGCCAACAATGGCTGGTGGATTGTTCAGCATCGATCGCAATTTCTTCTCACGGTTGGGTGAATACGATCCGGGCATGGAGGTATGGGGTGGTGAGAACTTGGAATTGTCTTTCAAGGTCAGTTGTCAACCGAATGAAATTGACTCAAATGATAGTCTAGTTCATCCGCATCACAGGTGATTGCATATGATGGCGGTGCTGACCTTATGTCCTCGACTCATTGACCACCAAATTGCATTATTGCTCTATACTTTAAGGACAGCGCATTCATTGAGAGTAACCATAACTGTTCGGTGTGATTTTACTAATCGAAACCAGTGAAATATTATCATTCCTTCTCATATTCTGATACAAGGCGCACGACAGACGTGGATGCAACTAAGATCGTGGAATTTCGATGTTCGTTTGACAAGCGTAAGAAGGAGTGAATTTCCTGACCTCGGGATGTATTAAGTGATACTTTCGAAAGCGGTTACCTGGAACAAGTGAACTCATTTTTCTGTTTGCTTTTAATCACCAGAGAAATTTGTTTCACTCATGAGGAAAATATTGGAATCAACCAAAGCAGATCTCCTAGAGTCAAAATAAACTGTTACAACAAAGGATGATTTGAAACTCAACCGACAGTGAGCTCTTAGTTTGACTCAGGTGTGAAAATTTCACCGGATTTTATGTGCACCCTTGCCTCATAAATTTATATGCATTTCATAACTTTTGCCTATATCACTTCCTCAATTCCGCGCGGTTAAATACATTCATGAAAACCTTTTTTGTTTTTATATTAGTGTAGTGGGAGAAAGCTTGTGGAATAGCTGTTTCGAGATAAAGCAATTCCTTCTTGATGTAGAGAAACTGAATGCCACTGGAGCTGGGGGGGGGGGCTTTTTGAACAGTACTGAGAACAGTAATATTATTCTCGTTACTGAAGGTTTCTTCATGTTCAGTGACCAGCATTACCACATTAGAATAGAGAACACGAAATTTCATTCCTAACTAAAGGAACCGGTTTAAGGTAGGTTTGGAATTAGCAGAGGCTAAAAAAGCCTTAACCCATATTTAAATTGAATAGCTTAACACCAGTATCATAATCTCATGTGATCCTTACCACTTGGGAGTTTGTCGACTCTGTATATATAAATGCCTTTTGCGTACAAAGGAATACTGTTTGCCTGAATCGAGAAATAAAAATCGTTCTCACTGGGCTCAGTTATGACTCGAATAATTGACTAAAGTGCTTTACGCTGGCCAGTACATGCAAATAACAACGCATTTACTTAACATTTATGAACTCCTTGAATCTTGTTAACTAATGTCTGATTTCATCCAAGTTGTTGAAAGTTGTGCTGTTTTAAGTTTGCATAGTTACATTTTCTTCAACAAGATGACCCAACGATAGCACTTGGAACATTCGTTCGGTAAAGCATGGACGAGGTTCCTACTCGGTGATATCATTATCCACCTATAAACGCTGAAAAATCTGATTAATCTGTTCATTTGATCGATACTGCGTCGAACCCAAACCAACGAGGTTCTATTAAAATAAACAGAATGGGGATGTGGGAGATCGGGTGTTTGAAGATCATTAGATGTTCATGGGGTCTGTCAAATGATCATACCAATTCCGGCCTGAAACCCATTGTCTGGATCGCACATACCCAACGCCTCTCTCGTTAAATAGATTTGAATTATTTGCGTACTACATCCCTCGTCAAGTTGTTTTGTACCAATCATTGTGATGCTCTAGTGATTAAGAGAAAGTGAATAAAATATTTGTACAATCACCACTAACACTAACCTTATCTTCCAGTGATAATCAGAATGAATGTTAATCTTGGCTGATCAACTGTCTCCCGAAGTTTTTCGCATTATTCAACGACGAACGGGTATGAAACAAATGAAGGCAAATAAGGTGACTATGTTGAATGTTCCTAAAACATACTTAAAGCTAAACAGTTTTTGTGTTTCCTACAGATTAGTCGTACTAATTCACATTTATCTATATCCAAAATCGGACGCAACGGTACCCCATCCTTGTGGATCTTAGGTAATCCGTATAACCGAGGTTTTGTGGTCCCGACCGGTCTACTTCTTCATAGGTAGACGGAGTGGTTATGCCATCTTGTTTTGAATGATCAGACTTCACATTTACCCACGGCTTCCCTGTCTGGCGTCAGTTTGCGAATCTTGTCAAATGCTTGTCAAGTCACTGACAGTAGCGTCAATCGGGTCAAATTTGAAATCACTAATTGGATCAACCTCACAAAATACAACTTTTGCTTAGTTTTTTCATTATTCAGAAATGCATAAATGTTCTGCTTTGGCGGTTAATCCTAAATGACAAAGGCGTTAGAAAACAGTTTCCGATTAAAACGTTCCGCCGGTGTCGAATGGAGAACGCTCTTAGGTATTCGACGACAGATATGCATTAGGGGACCACTAAGCTGATTACGTTCTTTACTATTCACTATCCTCTCACTCAGTAGAAAAAGATGTCTACATTGAATCGTCTGTCGACCAAATAAAGGCGAAAATTGTTTGAAATTTGGAAATAATGACCAAGGTGTGTGCATTTTAAGGCTCTTACTAGCTATTATGGTTTTCGTTTATTAAATTCGTGATGTCAACCAATCGATGATCTGCGAATGTGATTTTTCTCGGTAGGTTTTTGCTCCTACACTCACCTCGGCCCTCGCGATCTCTGGTGACGTAAATAGTTTTCGTAATGTTAAACACATGTTGTATAGTTGATGTTGGTGCTATTCTGAAAATTGAGCCGCCGCATAACACCGACAGCAGTTTGAACAGATTCTATTGACCTGACCTCAAGTTGTAAAACTAGACGATTGAGTTGGTGCGCATTTTGTGCCGTGGACTGATTCATCAATCATCTATTATCTACTTTCATATGTACTGTAATTGTGCTTACTTGTCTGTTTTCGGTAAACACGGTGGTCTACTCACTGCTCAACCTAGTCCTGATACAAACACTGTGTCAAGATCTTTTTCTGCCAAGGGGTAGGTGTGTGTGTGTGTGTGTATGTGTGCTTAAGGGTTTGTGATGCTTCCGACGGGAACTTTACTTCTTTTCGTCGGAACAGTTTCTTCTACCTGACCTTTATCATAGGTTCAGTATCTTTCTTGCACAGCAACATTAACCGTACTATTTGTGTGGTTCTCTAGTCTCGTAATATATCATTGGTAGGATTGCGAGCAGTTGTGCGGATATTGTAGCATTGAAAATGATCTTCGGACCCATGCGATATTGAATTATAAAGATATTCGATTAGGATAAAGTTATCGCTAATACAATGTCTACGCACTAGTCTTAACTACCGAAAAACTTTAAAGCACACTGCATAGGTGCTATATCGTGGTTTTTGGAGCTTTCAGATATTAGGTTTAAGGCAAAACGGACGCGTATTAGTGTGTCCACGAAAACTATTGAATGATCAAGTTCCTTAACAGTGAAAACAGATCACTGAGAGTTGTTTTTTGATCTTTTTTACCGTGGATCAGGCTTTGAATTCGCATAAAGGTAACGGACAAATAAATGCTTTTAAATAAGACAACCCAAAAGGCATACAATCGAAGTTTTTCCGCTCGAGATGGTTGGGATTAAATGATTTCAAAAGGGTGTAGTGTCATCAAAAATACGAGTGAGAAAACATCCGTTATCATCTAATAAAGCAGTATTGTGTGCCAATCTTATAAAGTAATCAGCGATTCCTTAGGATTTCTTAGCGCTGAGTCATCAAGGTAACCGAACGTCTTTGTGGTTTAGCTAAAAATGCTGACAAATGAAACCAGTCTAAAATGTGAAGGTAAAATCCGGTTTGAGTTTTTGTTCGTTGCTGTAAGGACGAAACGTTAATGTCCGATGATATAACCGGTCGATGAACCACTAACAGTTCACCTAACAGAGTTTACTAGAACACCTGATACTAAACCAACCAAGAAGAGGCGTAATAATCATGCAGACACCCTCCCAATCATGGTTAGGGTCGCCAGCTCGATTGGGTATCGAGGTGTATTGGTCACCTTGGACGTTTGCCCCTTTCAAAGGGCGAATGATCCGATGAACTGGACACCGGTTCCCAATGGATTGCGGTTCTAACACACCACCTGCTATCTTGATTAGTCAATGAATCCGGTTGTGAACTCCGCATAAAAAATACACCT